GGTTTCATCTTTATTTAAAATATTTATCTTGATCAAGGTCCATATCCTAAATTCTTACCTACCATAGTTGACCTTTATCATGCGAGGTCGAGGTGATATAGTTGACGTAAATTGTTGACATTGGTTTGTAAACATTGTTTGATAATAATCATATCAACTGATATATTATTATCAGACTTACTAGAAAGTCAATACATGGTTAATACATACCCCTGGACATAAGATACCTGTCACACAACGTTTTTATGTGGACGTATATTTTGGTCGCCCCTGTCCATCTGGACGCTTGTTATCATAATATATGTATTGTGTGATAATTTGTGCCTGACAAAGTCTGTGACAGGTGCCTTCTGTCCAGGGCCCTAATACTCGAAATCTTAACTTAAGATAAAATCCAAATTTTAGTAGATAATTCAATTTTGATTGGCTGAGCACTAAAATCAATCTAATATTATCTAATCAAATTACTAAAATTTGGATTGTATCTTAGTTAAGACTTAGTTAAAGTCTTGTAGATACATATGCCAGGGATACTGTTTCAAATTGTCATACTTATCCCAGTATACCAGCAGTGTAAGGAATGGTGGAACGGGTGGGGATGGGGATGGTAGGTAGTAAGTACACTGTTAAAAACAAACGTGGCTTAAAGCCACAGATTGTCATTTGAGAGATTTTGAATCCTTTACAAACGCACTATTGTCAAAGTTGGATCTCAAAAAGGGTTATCTGTCAAAAAATGGTTCAGTTCCGCTAACTCAACTTTCAGCAGCACAACCTGTAAGTGTTGTGTAAAATCTTTTGATTGGCCTATATTTCATCAGTAGGAGCCACAGTGGGTAAGTGGGTAAGACGCTGGCTTGCTAATCTAGAGGTCGCATGTTTGATCCCAGCATTCACCAAAAAAGTTAACAGGATTTTCCGACTTGGTTTCCCCTTGTCAGTGGTACAGGATGGAGGGCCTGACAAGGACAGCTGTCTAGTCATTTGGATGGTACGAAAAAAGGATCTGTGTACATTTCCCAGCTCAAATTAAATATTTAAAGGGACAATAACACTCTTGCTGGCTTGAAAGCTCCAGAAAATAAATAATATCTCTATCTAAGTACTAGATGTTTAAGTGTCCTACCTGTTGTGTAAATTATCCATTACATCCTATTTTACTTGTCCAGAGGGTTCGAAAATATTTTTAAATCGAAGTTTCATTTGAAAAAGTTTACGTTAGACGTTTAAAACCATTCTGTTGAATTTTTCAAAAATTTTAAATAAGGTGTGTTAAGATGAAATTTGTATCATCAATTAACTGAAATATTCTAAAATAGTACAATTTGTTGACCAGAATAAAGATTGGGGCATATTATTCAGTTACAACAAGAGTGGTATTGATCCTTTAACGTTTAGCAACCGTTTGAAAACCAAACCAAAATATCAACAGTAGTTAACTGGTTTCAATCTGATTAAATAGAAATAAAATGAAATGAGGTTTAAAGTCCTACTGTTCTACTCCTACTGGGCTAATGAAGACGGGCATACACCGTACAGTGTACTATGAGGGAAATTTTGCCCGGACAGCGGCACTACGGCCTACTCTTATATCGAATTCCAACTGCCAAGGGATCTTTAACGTGCACGCCAATGTGTACACGGGACCTCGGTTTTTCGTCCCATCTGAATGACTAGACAGCTGTCCTTGTCAGGCCCTCCATCCTGCATCACTGACAATGAGAAACCACGCCGGAAAATCTGGGTGAACTTTCTCGGCCAATGCAGGGATCAAACACCCGACCTCCAGGCTAGCGAGCCAGCTTCTTACCCACTTAGCTTGATTGACATAAATGTTTTCTTTCAGTGCTCAAGTAAACAACTAATTTCAATGATACTGTTAGATTTTCATTGGCAGTTTGATGTTTTTTTATCACTGTTGTAGCAAACCAATAATTTAATAGTGTTAGATTTTATTACTAGTCTTTAACATGGTTTTAAACAGGTGCTGGTTTCAAAATATATAATTTATCTATGTTATTATATAGTAGTGGTAGGTCTCATGCATTTTGACTTACGAATATACTTTAGGGTTCCGGTTAATGGTACTATGTTTTATTAGTATTGATGGATTTTGACTTTAACATGGTTTATAAACAGGTGCTGGTTTCAAAATATATAATTTATCTGTTATGATGTGGTAGGTCTCATGCATTTTGACTTACGAATATCCTTTAGGGTTCAGGTTAATGGGGTTTTTTTTGTATTGTTAGATTTTGACTTGGATTACACTTTAGGATGATGGTAGTCAGGGGCGGATTGGGACCGGGAACTGGCCCAGGCTCCCGTGTCGGAGCGGCCCCTTTTACTGACCGATTTGGTGGCATATCTGATTATAATCTCTGTCAAATAATATATCTCATAAATCGATTAATTTAGGCCAAAACCTGTGAAATTATCATATCGTCTTATTATGCAGGATTCCGATTTCCGGCGCACACCCAGCTCAGAAAGTCTATTATACCAGTCCATTCCAGACTCCAGTGATGGCGTGGTGGCCTGTTAAAGCCACCGGCCACATACAACATGATCATCATCGCTCCATGGCCGGTACAACCCCCCCCCCACCCCATATAATGTTCAGCAGAAAAAGTTTTTTTTAGATTAATTATAAGTATAACACATACTTATGGAAGAACTTTTACTTATTTATTTACACGACGTTTTGAAGAGTATTCTCCTAACAAATACTCTTCGAACCATCGCCCAAATAAATAAGTAGCTGTTTTTCCATAAGTATGTGTTATAGTTTATCGCTCTATCCAGTTACTAAATGCCTCTAAAAGATCGTAATGTATTTTATTTGTATTGATGGATTGTGACTTGGAATTCCCTTTAGGATTAATGGTACTATACTTTAGGGTTGATGGTACTGTATTTTATTTTTATGAATTTTGATTTGAAATTCCCTTTAGGATTGATGGTACTGTATTATATTTGTATGTATGAATTTTGACTTGGAATACTCTTTTTGACCAGGAATATCATTTAGGATTAATGATTCTGTATCATATTTTAGTTTTAAATGTTTTTGAATTTAACCTTTTGGGCTACTGTAACTTTATGTTTGGGTGGTAATGTTTAATTAGGTTAGTAATGTTAATTTACATTACCATGGTAATGGTTTTATACAAGTGATACTGATTAATTACATCTACGTCATATCTTAATCTATTAATAGTTACATGGTTTACGTCACATCTCAATCTATAAATAGAACAATTATCTAGTTTTAATTACGTAGTGACATGTATGAAAGTTGTCAACTGTTTAAGTTAATCATTTATCAAAGTGTGTGTATATTATATCATGTGTGGGTAATTAGTAGGGGGTATAACATCAGTGAAGAGTGGATATATGGTCATGTATCTTATGGTACCTGTAAAAAATGATAGTTTTAAAGGATATCGTGCGATAGCTATGAAATCGAAAGTTCTAAACAGAATCTGTTATTCACGAGGTATATTATTCAGGAAGTTAAATCTTTAATCTTTGTGGGTGGTCAAGTGGTCTAATGGGTGTGCTTTTAGATCATTAGATCTGTCATTGAATCAAGTGATATGGTTTCGATCCTCCACTTGTAGGAAATGAAATGAAATGAAATGAAATGGGGTTTAACGTCCTACTGTTCTGCTCCTAACCTGGGCTAATGAAGACGGGCATACGCCATACAGTGTGCTATGAGGGAAATTTTGCCCGGACAGCGGCACTACGGCCTACTCTTATATCGAATTCCAACTGCCAAGGGATCTTTTACGTGCACGCCAATGTGTACACGGGACCTCGGTTTTTCGTCCCATCCGAACGACTAGACAGCTTTCCTTGTCAGCCCCTCCGTCCTGCATCACTGACAAGGGAGAACCACGCCGGAAAATCTGGATGAACTTTCTCGGCCAATGCAGGGATCGAACACCCGACCTCCAGGCTAGCGAGCTAGCGTCTTACCCACTTAGCCACGTGATCCCCCCACTTGTAGGAGACAAGGAGTAGGGTTGCCTGCCACACCTCGCGTGGTTTTCTCTGGATCCTCTGATTTTCTCCCAGTTCCACTGTGTATTTTGCTGCCCACAAATTAAAGCCTTACTCAGTAGATTAGGTTAAAACAGATTTCAAGTAATTATAAAGATCTTTGCTATGGTTGATCTGTTTTGTCTTCACGCAAGTTCTTGATGTGACACAAATCCAAGTGATCCGTTATTGTATTCTCACTTCTGATGAGGAGTTGGAAAATGAGACTGCGAGAGGATATCAGTTCAAATTCGAATATCCACATCAAGAACCGATTGCGTATGAGAAATAAACATTACTATAAAGGCACTTATTACGGCACTTTTCACTGTAACCCGGGTATCATTTAAGCTTCTGTATCTAGCACTAATTTCTTTCACATTCATTCTATATCAAATCCTTGTTTAAAAATTCGTAAAAATCATTTAAAATCACCCAAATTCATCTAATTTGTACTTGTGTAAAGTTTAAAGCTGACAATTAAATTTTGATAATGAGTGTCCAATTTACAAGCGGTTAATTTCTCGATCACTGTTAAAAAATAAACAACCCAATTGATTATTGAATGTGTAATGATTGATTTTCGAACAGTGGTCAGGAAATTTAATTAATCAGTCAGCTTTATACTTTACACAAGTACAAATTAGATGATTTTGGGTGATTTTAAATGATTTTTACGAATTTTTAAACAAAGATTTAATATTAAACGAATGTGAAAGATATTAGTGCTAGATAAACAAGATTAAATGATACCCGGGTTACAGTGTTTGGAATCCATGTTGGCTCTACCTTCATATAGTGGGATGCCTCTTTCAGATAATGAATTCATTATGTAGTGTACACTTAATATGACATTAACAAAGTTACTGGTGCGGACAAAATGGTCGCTCTGCATTAAAATAATTTTAACGTTGATTGCCATTGTTTTAAATCTTTTTTTCTGTATTTTTCAGAAGTGAATGTTAAAGTTATTGTTGAGACAGCTGTGTGATTTTATCAAGATGGCTTCTCTTGCATTTTTTGAAGAAATGGACCAGGCTTTGTTATATACCGCTCTCATATTAGCAGTGATAGCCAGCAGTATGCACCGTACCGGCAGAGCAACATTCCAACGACTTAACTACTCAAAAGAATTGTGGAAATTGATGCGGGCAATTACTTCTCGCGAACTCATTATTCAGGGACTAAAATGGGGAATCCCCCGAAATCTGTTGTATCAAATCGTGACTTTTCATAAACACGTCGCTCGTAGACTTCGATTAAAATCATATTATTCAAAGAAAAAGAGTAAAGGTACTTCAGCTAAAACTAATCTCAAGAAGAGAAAAAGATTAAATAAAACAGTAAGTTTCAAGTAGATTTGGGATTTTTGTTATCAGCACTTTTAGCCCCTTAACTGCCTGATCTACCCCCAGAGGTTGGAACAAGTCGTGGGACTTTAGCTCCCACCTCTGTCTACCCCTTCTGTCTCTAAAATTAGGTGTTTTAATTGCATTTATTTTACAGATAGGCATGTAGTGATATGCCAAATAGAGTTACCTCCCATTACACACATTTAGTTGGTGCTCGATTGTCAGTCCGGAACGTCCCGTATTGACAGAATTGCAATCAAGTGACACAAAATTCAGTCATGTCACAGGTCTGCCAGTCCCGACAGCTGAGGTGGTGTGAGTAGAATAGTGACATATTTTAAGTAACAAATATATTTCAGCTTTCATGCTTTGTTGAGATATTTTGTATGCAGTCAGCACATGCCTTGTACTTCTTTATTCACCTTTTCACTCGATTGACACTATTTTTGGAATTGAGAAAACTTAATTCCAGAACGTTCAATCGAGTATCCCCTTAAAGCTGAACTCCGATTACAAAACTACAGAAATAATTAAATAAAAAAAGTAACGCCCAAAACAACCGCCATACTTGTTTTCAATGTGTAGAACAATCATGGCGATCGCTTTGGGCTGACACATTCACATGCAGTCCACGCCCACTTCCAGTATGTGCGTGTCAAGTGAATTGTCCACATCCGGTTACCTAGTCAACTACCAATTACCTCCTGACTGATTGAAGATTTTTCACTATCAGCTCACAGAAAATATTATTGCTACACAATTATTATGTCTGAACAGGTACAACCTTAATAAGATCAGTGTTATAAACACAAAAAAAAGAATATAAAACACAATTACTATTTTAATTAAAGCGACGTTTCGTTGGGGGTTCTTTGGACATTGTCAAGTAAATAGTTATTGTGTTCCATAGGGTGATCACGTGACTAAGTGGGTAAGACGCTGGCTCGCTAGCCTGGAGGTCGGGTGTTCGATCCCTGCATTGGCCGAGAAAGTTCATCCAGATTTTCCTGTGTGGTTTCCCCTTGTCAGTGATGCAGGATGGAGGGCCTGACAAGGACAGCTGTCTAGTCGTTCGGATGGGACGAAAAACCGAGGTCCCATGTACACATTGGCGTGCACATAAAAGAATAGGCCGTATTGCCACTGCCCGGGCAAAATTTCTCTCATAGCACACTGTATGGCGTATGCCCATCTTCATTATCCCAGGTTAGGAGCAGTAGGACGTTAAATCCCATTTCATTTCATTTCACTTCATGTTCCATATTATGTTTTTGCGTTTATTATGTGTGTCAATTGCTAAATGCGGCTCAAAGAAGATCAGTGTTGTCTTTTTCCGGACAAGTTCAGCAGGTCGTACTTATATCCACGGGGTCTAGTGTGTGAGATTTCGGACCTCCTAAACGGCCTAATAAAAAATATTCTCTCCAGTACGATTTGGATTGATCAAATTAACCAGTTACCAGAAGGAGTTATATGAACATTGAAATAATAATAATTTAATTCATCAACAAAATCGCCTTAATTTGTCTGGTGGCAACATTTTTTTTTTCATTCTTTTCATGTATTTGATTACTATTTGTAATTTCAGGTAACATTATATAGAAAAATGCCATTGAAAGCCATTTCAAGATTATGGGGGAAAGTCAATCAAATGGATCTACCTGTATTTTTAAGAAAGCCTCTGATTGGTCTATATATCTGGATGTTTGGATGTAAAATAGACGAAGCAGAGATTGAAGACCTTCAACATTATAAAAATTTAGGAGAATTTTTCCGTCGAGAACTAAAGCCTAATGTCCGTCCAATTGACCTGGATCACCAAGTTGTAAGTAAATATATGAACATTGAATCACAAAACGCTATATGATTGAAAACAAGAGTTGCCTCCCTTTGGTAATGAGGACTTTGAAAGTATTTGGTGGTTAAAGAATAATATTAACAATAAATGGCATGGATAATATATAAAGATAGCAGCACAACATTTTAAATATAAATGTACCTATGAATAGAATCTAAAAACAATAACTTATACCTATAAAGAGAGAGAGATGGGTTTTAAAGTCCACTCGACACAAACTAGGTCATTTCGGGACTAACATATGGTTTAATTTTATTTCAATAATTCGCTTGTGCATAGGGGTCTTTAGCAGTGGGAGGAAACTGGAGGAACCGGAGAAAACCCACGAGGTTGGACAGACGACCCTACTCCTTGTCATGTACAACCGGGGATTCGAAACCACGCCAGTCGACTCAATGACAGACTTTATGATACAGCGCGCGCACGCTAACCATTCAGCCATCCAACCCCCCCTTTATACCTATAAAAGAAGCAATATTTGTTATACATTGATAAAAACAACCTCAACCAATCTTTGCATCATACTGTATGGTGGTTATCTGTAAAGCTTGTAAAAGTCTTATAAACATCCACATTTCTCATATACAATGTTTGAAAACTCTAATTCTTAAAGTAGTTGACTACCGATTAAATAACCATCTTTTTAAGTGACATTTTCCAAGAGATAAAAAAAAATGGGAATTATTCGACAACGCCTTCATTTATTTTCTTAATTGGGGTTGACTACCGATTAAATAACCACGCTTTTAAGTAACATTTTCCAAGAGATAAAAAAAAAGGGAATTATTCGACAACGCCTTCATTTATTTTCTTAATTGGGGGTGCTGGATGCCCAAATGTTTAGCGCGTGTGCGTTGTATCATAGGGTTTGTCATTGAGTCAGTTGGCATGGTTTTGATTCCCTGGTTGTACGTAACAAGGAGTAGGGTCGTCTGTCCAACCTCGTGGGTTTTGTCTGGGTCCTCTGTTTTCCTCCCACTACAAAAGACCCCTATCTCGAAATGACCTAGTTTGTGTGGAGTGGATATTAAACCCTCTCTCTCTCTCTTGTTAAATAATCAATTTGAGTACATGTTAGTGTGGGTCAAGCCGTGGAAATGCAAAAGACATGCAGAGACTTTATTCACTTTTCCCCACATGTGTTTTTTGTCCCCCGCCTTTCGTAGAAAGCAGGGGACTATTTAAATGGGTCTGTCTCTTTGTTTGTCCGATGATGAGAATTTTCTGCTTAGACTAAGGAGGGATAAGCAGTTTGATTGGTCAAGACTTTTGAATTCCTTTTAATTTTGGTAGAATGTTTAAACTTGATGTAGATGTTCATTAGGTGAATGTCTTGACTGAGTTTTATGATTAACATTTCGAGCTAAAGCTATGCAGAGATAAGCAATTTTATTGGTTGGTGCTTTGGGATAAGATAACTTTGATTCTATCTGATAGAGAGTGATGAAACTTAGTGTATAGTTGATAATCAGTTTGATTGCTCGATACCTTAGAAAAAGATAAATGTGCAATTAATTTATATGTGTCATCTGTTTATTTTGGGATTTCGGCGAGGGACATCAGCCTCACTATTGGCTTGTTTTTTTACAGACGAGTCCAGCTGATGGTAAAGTCCTTCATTATGGTGAAGTGACTTCAGGTTATCTGGAACAAGTGAAGGGGGTTACGTACTCATTAAAAGGCTTTCTGGGCACAACACCAGAAATGGCAGCAGTAGATGATGACAATTTTCAAAGAAATTTACTGAGGAATCCTGAAAATGCTTTATATCACTGTGTTATTTATCTGGCACCTGGGGATTATCATCGTTTTCATTCACCAACAGATTGGTTAATTAAACATAGACGACATTTTCCAGGTAAGTCAAGGATAGCCTGATTATTGTCCCCCACATTGTTGGTCAATTTTGTTAAAATTTTCATAGTACTAAAATTAACCCATAGGAAACTTTAACCAATTTTACCATTAGCCAATATTCACTGTCATATATCATTATAAGCTATTTCTTTTCAAATTTCTTCTCGGATGTATTTGTTTTTAAATTTCAATGAAGAATGATCACTTCTACCAGTTACACCTTGTCCATCTTTACCAAACTGAAAAGCCCTACATTCAGTGCTTAGGCGAGAGTGTTCAGAAAAAATGTTATTGTAATCTTGTGACACAAGTGACACAGGATCGGGCCTTCTCACAGTTTTGCGATTCCTTTCAATTGATGGACATTATCTTGTATTTATCGCGATCCTTTTTGTGGTAGTATTTTCTGTGTTCCATCCTCACCCCATACATCATAAGGACTGTCATTGCCTGTACAACCTTGTGGGTTTTCTCTGGGTCCTGCTGTTCCTCCTACTGCTAAAGACCCCTAATTGCAATTGAATTACTGAAATAAAATTGAACTATGTTAGTCCTGAAGTGATTCTCTCTCTCTCTCTCTCTCTCTCTCTCTCTCTCTCTCTAACTCCCCCTATACCCAGTCATTGTTCAGTTTGACAGTTACCAATAATTTGTGTTGTTTTTGTTTTTTACAGGTGAATTACTGAGTGTGAATCCAGGTGTAGCGAGATGGATAGAAGGATTGTTTAATTTTAACGAACGTGTTGTATATACCGGAGAATGGGAACATGGGTTTTTCTCTATGACGGCAGTTGGTGCTACTAATGTCGGCTCAATTAAAATATACTGTGATGAGGTAAGTTGTTTAACTCTAGAATATAATAAAAGTTATTGTGAATAGTCTTATTGGGGATAGGGATTCACGGTGACTAAGTGGGCAAGACGTTGACTCGCTAGCTTGGAGGTCGCGTGTTTGATCTCTGCGCGCATACGTTGACTCGCTAGCTTGGAGGTCGCGTGTTTGATCTCTGCGTGCACTGGCTGAGAAAGTTCATCAGGATTTTCCTACGTGGTTTCCCCTTTTCATTGATGCAGGACGGAGGGCCTGACAAGGACAGCTGTCTAGTTGTGCAGATGGGACGAAAAACCTAGGTCCTGTGTATAAAAGATCCCTTGGCAGTTGGAATTCGATATAAGAGTAGGCGATAGTGATGCTGCCCGGGCAAAATTTCCCTTATAGCACACTGTATGGTGTATGCCCGTTTTCATTAGCCCAGCATAGGAGCAGAACAGAAGGACGTTAAACCCCATTTCATTTTATTTAATTTCCCTTTCCACACATCGCTTTGACCAAACCTTTATCACAGTGGTTAGGAGAGTATGCACTGGCCCACTAAAAAGTTATCCGGTTTCATTCCATGAGTTGTCCAAGAAGCTCTCTGTATTTCCCAGCCCGGTTCCCTCTTGTCAGTAGTACACGACAAATGTGTCTAGTTGTTTGGATGAGACAAAAATACAAGGTCCTGTGTATATCATTGACGTTGAACGTCATTTTGTCAAGAACTACATCAGTGTTATTTTCTTTTTCTTGTATCTTTTCAGGCGTTGTCAACAAATATGGTTAAAAAACATCCAGCTGGCAGTTTCCTTGATGAAGAATTTAAAATAGCCGTTCCGATCATGAAAGGTCAAATGCTTGGTGAATTTAATCTTGGCTCAACGATCGTATTAGTGTTTGAGGCACCTTTAAACTTTGATTTTAAAATAACAAATAACCAAAAAGTGAAATATGGTGAGCCGATGGGGACAGTTTCTAGTACTGATACAAAAATTCCTTTGTAAACTTTTTTTTAAAAAAAAAATACTGAAGTCCTGTTTATCCAGTGTTTTATGCTGTGATATTTAACTATGAGCTTATGACATATTTGTTACTGGATGATCAAGTGGTTTATTTAAGGTGTATGTTTTAATGGTGCAAAGTTTTAGTTTTTCTATGAAAAATGCATTTGTTTGTTTGATGTTGAATATATGTCCATTTTGTCCATAACTCAGAACAGATGCACAAAGTTCGCAATGATCAGGGGTCAAATGCAGCAAAAAAAATCCTATCTTTTACCCAAAGTAAGTGAAATATGAAGAAGAAGAACATTTCTTTAAACGATATCTGAAAGAAAATAATCCCTTTAAAATCAAAGCAGACACGTCCAAAATCGTACTCAGTGTTCATATTTCATAATTTTAAATTTTATAATTCAAATTATTTTATTTGATTTATGTGATATTTTCACCAAATTGTATGAAATGGACAGTAATACAGATTCAGCAGGCCTGGAAATGAAAAATTTTGTGCCGGACCGGTGTAACAACTTACAATATCATTAAAAACTGAGCAAAAAGAAAAATCAGACCCAAAAAGAACCAGAATTTGTGTCTGACAACTGACAATGTCTGTAGTGGGTGCCTTATTCCAGGCTTGTATTGTTAATTTTTTTAAAGGGGTACTATCTAGTAAAACAGAACTTGATCATAGATAAAATTCTTGGAAGAAAATAAATATAAAAATATAGAATACTGGAATTGATTTTTGATAATACTTAGCAAAAACTTGTACATTTTGTATTTAATCAGCTTTGACTTGTGATAATTCCCCATTTTACCTAGACTTTTTTCAAGTTAGATAAGAGATCTAAACCTAAAAAATTTTGAAAATAAAATAGTATAGTACTTAATAGTCTTAAATACAGTACTTAATAGGCCTAAATACAGTACTCAATAGGCCTAAATACAGTACTCAATAGGCCTGAATACAGTACTCAATAGGCCTGAATACAGTACTCAATAGGCCTGAATACAGTACTGAATACAGTACTCAATAGGCCTGAATACAGTACTCAATAGGCCTAATCATATTATTGTTAAAAAAGAACAATATGTAAATAAATGACAAATGTTACATCAATACTATACACTCTAGCAGTTACGGGAAGACGATCAAATAAATATTTTAACAAATGGATAAGTCAGTTCTCGGCCCTGTTTCTCAAAATCTTAACTAAAGATAAAATCCAAATTTTAGTAGATACTTCAATTTTTATTGGTTAAGATGAGTCATGTGAAACCACCTCTGTAACATAATTTGGTCTCCATTTTGGTATCTCATAACAACCCAGGGGCATGTTTCACAAAATTTTAATTAAGATAAAATCCAAATTTTAGTAATTTGATTGGATAATATCTTAACCAATAAAAATTGAAGTATCTACACAAGGAAATGAGCCAAATCACGACATTTTGTTGGTTATATTGACTGAGTTCTGTGGCCTAATTCATGAAATATTATCTGAATGCAGGATTTTTATTGGTTGATAATTTTAGAATGGTATTCAGCCAGTGCTTCAATGATAAACATTGACTTCCAGTTTATGTGCCAAGAATATTTTGAGTTTATTTATGTGTTTTTGAAGATGATATTAATGTTGTTCAAGATATTACTTTGCTATTAAATTTATTAGTTTTAAACAGGGACGGATTAATGCACTGGGCCCCGTTTCTCGAAATCTTAACTAAAGATAAAATCCAAATTATAGTAGATGCTTCAATTTTGATTGGCTAAGCACTAACTAAAATCAGTCTAATATTATCCAATCAAATTACTAAATTTGGATTTTATCTTAGTTAAAATTTCGTGAAACAGGCACTAGGCCAACTGTATGGGTATGCCACTGTTGGCTTGTTTTTTTATATTTTGTATTTGATGGATAGATGACAATCTAAATCCCAGAGATATCTTTACCCTTCGTTTATTTCTGGTAAAACTTGCCGGCCATTAATCACGTGATGTATCCTTCCGCCGGTCGCTTCAGAAAGATCCAAGACAGATCAGTGGTCGCGTTTCTTCAGAAATTTCACGTATTTAGCCAAATTACTAACATTCCACGCTAAAAATAGTTCCCGGTAAATCATCAAATCGGCTGTTTTCGAATGAACTTTTGATGTCAAGATATGGAAAATGTTTCAAGGATCATTAATATTTAACTCATGCAACAAACAAGTATTTCATTCTAACAAATCAAGCCAATCAGAAGCCACTGGGGGCGGAGCTTAGGAACTGATCTGACACAGATTAATGACCAGTGAGTTTTACCAGAAATAAACGAGGGGTAAAGTTATCTCTTGAATCGAGATTGGGATAGATGGATGCCTGTGTAATAGGCCCCATTCAATATTTTCGCCTAGAGCCCCACAAAACCGTAATCCAGTCCTGGTTTTAAAATATAGTTTAACATATATGCGATTATCCCTTAGAAGAATATTAATAATAAATTAAGTGTTGTGAAAGATATCTATATACTTCTTTGTAAATAGTACAGTTGTAGCTCCACACTCAACACAGACAAAGGGTATTTTGGGACTAACATATGGTTCAATCTTTATTTCAATAATTCGCTTTGAGAACCACAACTTTTTGACTCAATAACCGATGCGATTGCATTAGACCTGTCAGTGACTCTACCCCCCCGGTATTTATCATGTAACTTATGTGTGAGCATTGATATTTCAATATTAAATTGTTATTATTATTCATTAAATGAATTTGTTGAGTTGACTGTTTTGTTTGTTTTGCTTATTATTTGTGAGCTGTATATTGGGTTTAAAGGAGCTATATCTCTAACTCAATATTATTCATAATATTCGACATTTAAAAACATGAATTAGATTTCAATATTGGTCCATTTGAATCAATATGGACGCCTGATATCATATATTTAAGACATAATGAATTTTTTAAAGACAGTGAGTGATGTTTTTTTCTATGATGTTGAGCACCATTTGTAATGAGGCGCCTTGGTGAACAAATCAAAATATATCCTACAAGTCTATGCAGAAGTGAAATGTCAAACTGTACTCTTGATGTAGGCAGACTGATATAAGCACAATTTCACCAAACATAAATGATTAGAAATTAAATTTAGAAAATTGAATGTAAATCAGTTTATATCCATTTGTATTACATTAATATCTGTTTTTGACCCAGTTTTTACCATTATTAGGTTCCAAAGAATAGAGATGTAGCTCCTTTATGATAACCTCTGATTGTTTCTGCTATAATTGTTGTGTTTTTTATTAATTTACTAACATAGACTGTTTTGTACAATTGTATATGAAAATGTTATATAATGTTATATGTATTGTTTTATAGATATATTGTAATGAAAAGCTCTTTTCAATAGAAAATGTGCAGGACAGATTTTAGTGGGCAAAATTAGGCAGTATAATTTTTAGAATTCCATATGCAAAATGACAAATATATCAATGATATAAAACATCATTTCATTTATGGTCAAAAGAATAAAATATTGAACTTAGGTGAGATAGTGGACAAAATATAAAAATGGTTTCAAAAAGTAGAAGGTCTAAAAGGAAGAGAGAAATGGTGTTTAAAATTCACTTAATGCAAACTAGGGCATTTGGGTTATAACATCTTTTATCCTTACTTGATCTTGAGCCGTTGGATTGAATCGGAGAACTCAGAGAAATCCAATATAAGGTTAGGTAGATGTCCCGGACCCACTTGTTCTAATGTGTACAAACCTGGGATCCAACCAAACTTCACAATGCTTCACCAAACCCCTATTATGGAAAGGAGCTCCCTAAATATAAAGTAGTAATGTGTAAAGAATTTGTGTTAATCACTTTAAAACATATCAGTATATGTTTTAAAGTGATTAACACAAAATTTCATATTTGTAATTATATACATGGTTGAAATTAAAGGGGATTTACCTCTCTGATTTACATAAAGACAAATCCAGTGTTTATCCGATACATTACTCCGCAAGATTAAATTTTCGTTTTAGGATATTGAGCAGGAGTCAGTTTAATTACTAATTTATTGCCGAGTGTTGTACACAAAATAAGTTGGATCCATCTTTGGACCTGAAATACCCACACGGCATCAAATTTAATTAAATCAACACTTTCATTTTTTAAAATAAATCAGAAGTCTCGTCATTTTATTTTTAACAATTTGTTTGTCAATTTGTATGTCCTTATTTGTAACATAAGCTTCATGATGGATTAGATATGGGGAAATTTTGTGGACTATAATAATGATTATGATAGTGTGATGAAATATGAATTGTTGGTTATAATTGATCAGTTAATCATGCTAAATTATGCGCATAATTTATAATACATAATTGTAAATATCTACATTTTATGTAATTCATTATTTATATATGTAACTGGTCCATTCCACGACACTGTCAAATCAGGTGCCTTATAATTTTTGAAATAAATAACTTTTTTCTATCAATTTTGTTAATGTTTTTATCTGAAACTGTGGAAACCAATACAAAGTTTTAAAAACGGTCTTATGAAGAAAAAAAGGGGTTTTACGTCCTACATTTCACTGTCCGAGCTCATTGAATTCAAACTGACAAAGGTTCTTTAACGAGCACCGTAATGAGTTCACTGGTGAAACTTTTTTTTATCATATCCAAATGACTAGACGCTTTTTGTAAGGCCCCTTGTCAAAGAACCACTGAGAAGGGGAAACCACACTAGGTGGATGTAGGTTTTTTTTTTTGTACCGTCTGGACAACCTAGACACATTTTCCTTGCAGCTTTCTAACCTGCACAAACTTTCTCAGCCAATACTGGGTCTCCTGGTTAGTGGGCCACTGCTATAGGCCTATTCACCATAGCTCCACTGGCTTTAATACTCAATAATGGTTATCAATGAAATGAAATGGGGTTTAACGTCCTACTTTTGTGCTCCCACTGGGCTAATGAAGACGGGGCATATGCCATTCGTGAGAGAAATTTTGCCCGGATAGCGGCGCTATGGCCTACTCTTACATCGAATTCTGATGTGTACATGGGACCTTAGTTTTTTGTCCCATCCAAACTACTAGACAGCTGTCTTTGTCGGGCCCTCCATCCTGCACCACTGACAAAGGGAAACCAAGCCGGAAAATCCTGATGAACTTTCTCAGCCAACATCGGAATCGAACCTGCAATCTCCAGGCTAGCAAGCCAGCATCTTACTCACTTAGCCACCATGGCTCCCGTTCATCAAAGAGTCATTTTGGGTTGCAATAAAATATTTGAAATGGGTAAGCATACTCTGCCTTGTGTGAGACACATGTCACTATTCATCACGTTCAGCATTAAGTGATCTTCATAAATCATAGAATTCAGGCAATACTGATTGGTTCTTGTCCATTTTAAATAAAATTCATTAATTCAAAAAGCTTACAGTAATAAGTTAGATTTCTTTTAATGAATATCTTAATTCACTCCTGTGTTTCTATTCATGTCCAATACACGTTTAATATAATCATTCACACCACTACAGAAGAACCGCATATAGGCTACATGTACATGTATTAACTAACAAGGGTGGCTTGATTTTACATTTTTGTGCACATTTCCATATAAAATGGACTTAGCTATTACACCCACCACGATCTTAAGGTCACTAACATATCTTTATTTCAATAATTCGCTTGCGTGTATTTTTTTTTTTTATATAATTATTACTAGCTGTGAAAGAAACTTTTTTTTTATTCTCACCCATATTTCTATTCCATATGTTTATATTGGAAGGGAGGTAACTTCATTTTGAAATATAAGCTCTTCAATTGTAAAGATAACTTGGGTCTGAAATGAGCTTTGAAAGAAATGGTGTGTAAACAGAAATGAACCTAAGTGATGACTCCGGTAACTATCTCTCTATATGGTTTAATGTCATATGATTAGGCACAAATTTTATATTTTCTGATTGCTGAAACATATTTCTTTCAGATAAGGAGCATGAATGCGCCTCATGTTCGAAGA